GCACCAAGGGCTATCTGCAGCACTATTGCTTCCTGTGCCGTCCGTTCTGCAGCACGGTTTCTAACTTGGCCCTTTATCTCTGAGAACCATTTCCCAGCTGACCTCACTTCCTCAGAGCTTCTCAGCTTAGAGCCCTCTCAGAAGCGCGGCCGTGGGGCGAGCAGTGTGGGTCAGCTCCCTCGAGTGTGATGCTGTGTGATAGTCTGCTCTGTAGCCCGCTTGGCAGGGAGAAAAAGGATCTGGTCGGTGTGGTCTGTGTGCTCTGTGCACCCCTGCTCTGGTGCCATGACCTTGGTGTGAGGGAAGTGGCACTGCTTTGCACATGCCTTTGCACATGCACAGGCTGAAAAGAAAGCCTTGAAACAGATTTCATGTGGTTTGAACGTGGGCCAGGAACCGGGACCTGTAAATCTGCGTCTTGCTCTGACTTCCCTCCAGGCTATAGATCTCTTCACTGCCCTCCTGGGCGCAGAGCTGGGAATGCTTGGGATGTGCTGGTGGACGCGGGGGGCAAAGCAGTGCTGGAGATGTGGAGGGGACAAAAGCAGTGGTGGGGATACAGGGAGGAGAAGCCCTGGGAAAAGGGGGGTCTGGTTGGTGGCTTTGCTTTAGACCTTACAGAGGGCTGCCCCCAGACTGGCTGTGCTGTGCAGAGGTGTGGTGGAGGAGCTGGAATATCCACCGTGTAACATGAGGGGTCCTGTCCCAATGTCTGGCTGCGTAGGTGAAGGGTTTGGAAAGGAAAATGGGGAACTGCAGCACCTGGAGATAACACAGTCTCACCCTTCCGCCTTTCCCCATTCCAAAGCCCCGTGTCATTGGGCACAGCAGGCTCACAGCACTGGGCTGTGCCTACTGCCACATGCCATCCCTGCACACGGGGTCCCTGCTCCCACACTGTGCCTGGTCCTGGCAGTTTCCCAGTTTCCCAGTTCTAAATGGAACCATGGTGCTGCAGCACCTCATGGGTCTGGATGTTCCCAGGGCGGAACCGTGTGCTGGAGAACTTCTGCAATACGGAAAAAAAGAACAGTGGCAGCAGCTTTTGGAGTCCCTCCCTGCTCAGCTGAGCCCCTTCCTTCCCCTGGCAGCAGTCGCTGAGAGATAAGGGAGCTCTGCAGCCCTGGGGAGCGGCACTGCCACCCCCCATGTGGTGTGAGGTCGTGTCCTCATGGGAGGGGATGCTGAGCCGGTGTCTGTGGGATGGGGTGAGTGCAGGCTGTGCTGTGCTGTGCTGGGGGGTGGATGGGATGAGGATGGCCGGAATCCCACTGGTGCTGGTGATGATCAGCACACGGGACAGGGCGGGGAGCTGCATTGGAAGCTCCCAGGGTGGACAGGCTCAGAGCACTGGAAGTGGGTGTGGGGCCATCGCTGAGAGCTGGAGGAACTGTGTGTACCTGCAGCTCGTCCCGTGTCAGTGACTCCTATTATCCAGGTGGGTTCTGGGCACCTGAGTGAGCAGTACAGGGTTGGGATGTGTGCAGAGCCTGGTTCTCACCTCCAGGAGCGGCGGGGCTGAAAGCCACCAGCTCAGCGTTTTCCTTTGTTTTGCATCTGCTGGGGCTGTTTGTAGCAAGCAGTGTGCGCTGCACCTCGGCCGGCTCCAAGCATCCTGCACAGCCTGCTTCTGTCAAGGCGCAGCCGGGGCACCCAGCACAGCCGTATGGGCACGGGGACACGGAGGGGCTCTGTGTGATCTCCCCCTCCAGACCCCTCCTTTCGCTGAGCTGAGCTTCTGCCGTATCCTGAGCTTTGTTTTGGTGACAAATCGCGCTGAAGAAGCCGTGGACCGGCTGAGCACAGAGCTGTGCCCGCGGGCCCCCATCCAGCGGTGGGGCAGGGAGGGAGCCGATTCCTGGCCCCGCTCTGAACACAGCTGTTGCAGCTCCGGGTGTGTGTCCGAGGGCTCTGAGCAGCAGGGATCCTGCGGGGCCCTTTGGGGGTCTGTGCCCCGGGGCTGCAGCTGGGGAAGCCGGGCAGCTCCGGCCGGACTGGCTGGGCTGGTTCTGAGTGGGGAAATGTTTCAGCAGTGACGCCAGCATGGCCGGGGTGACTGCGACTTGCTCATATCTGGAGCTTTTCTGTCTGCCACGTGTTCCTCATCCTTTCCTGCCGCTGCCCATGGAGCTGCTATCCTTGCTCTGGGCTGTGAAATCGCTGCGAGTGGCACATGGGTGGGTGGCACCACTTGGGTTGCATCCATTGCTCGTGTCAGCCCTTTGCTGCCAGCCCGGAGGGGCTGGGCACTGTGACCATCCCCTGCAGTGCCCCGGGCAGATCTCTCCGTGCAGAAAGCAGAAGCGAGCTCTGTTTTCTGCAGCTGTCCTGGGAGTGGGAGAGTTTGCTGCAGGAATGGGGAACTGAAGTGCACAGCTTTGTGCTCCTCTTCTGAAGCCACTCAGAACATGAGAATTAGCAGGGAGCCCACAGGTGGTCACTGTGTCCTGGGGTGGTATTGAGGTGTCTTTTGGGGAGCAGGAGGCTGCGTTGCCCTGTGGTTAGGTGTGCTGGCCCCGCTCCACATCAGTGCTTCCCGGCACGGGGCAGCGGGCAGCATTCCCTGTTTGCCTCTCCTGGGCTGGGCAGGAGGAGGGCTGTGCCCTCATCACCTGTCTGGGAGAGGCACGCTCCGGGTTAATGCACACCAAGGGCTTTGTGTTTGTTTGGGTAGTGCTGATTGGGACTGGGCTGGCAATCCATGTGTGCAAACAGCAAGCTCAGGATGGGTTTGCAGGACCCGTGTGTTTGTTCCACGTGCAGTTGGAGGAGCAGCGGTTTAGGTGCCCTGGAAGTGGTTCAGTGGTTCTGCATTTCTTGACCAGATGAACATCAATAATCCGTGTCTGTGCTGCTCGGGGTTTGTTTTGTTCTTTCCAGCTCCTGTTTCGACACGTCTTTTTGAAGGCGTTCTGCATTGCTACCAAATGTGACTCCCCTGTGCTCGGGGGGATGAATTTGGATGGTTCATTTAATTATCCTTTGCCTTTTCGTGACCCACCAGCCTCTGCCAGGTTGGGCTATGAGGCTTTAATTAAGATGTCTTTAAATGTAACAGGAGTTGACGGAGTGGGATGGGAGCGGCCGTGCATTGCTTCTGCTGGGAGCACACAGCTGCACTGTGCCTTCGCCATGGCCCTGCATGGATTTGTCCTGGGGGGGGATGAGGGATTGGCAGGGATGTGCTGCTTCAGGTGCCTTTGGGATGCCAGGGGCAGCTGCTCCCCTGCTTTATGAGTTGGTGATGAAGTGTGGTTTGGTGCTGCTGCGGTGCCCTGCAAGGTGCTCCTGTTGCAGGATCCATTCTGGCAGCCCCAAAATGAGCAAAAATCTCAGCAGCATCCCTAGCACCACCTGTCCATGTAGGGGCACACAGTGATGTGCAGAGCAGGGCTGTGCCATGCCAAGCCCTGCTGGCAGCCGCCATCACCCCATGCTGCTGCATGACCCTCACATGTGCTCTGTGCCTCACACCAGCCCATCCCCACTCCCATCCCTAGGGATGCCTGCTGTGCACAAGGGCTTGGAGCTGCATTCCTACCCTGTTCTGCTGTCCTGGTTCCGTGGGCTAAGCTCTGTGCTGCACCATGGCTTTGTCTGCCCGCCGCACTTCCCGCTCCATTTGTCAGTCTGGCAGCAGACAGGTGCAGTCATTCATTGTGCTGTGCTGTGTGAGCTGATGGAGCATGGGGGGAAACCTGGGGCTGTGCCGGTCCCTCGTCCCACTCCTTATATCCAAAAGGATGCTCTCAGTTTTCTATGCAGCAAACCAGGCTGGGGTTAACGCATGGCTCTTCCAGGCAGGGCTGGCAGAGGTCTCCCTGCAGCACGGCTGCAGGGAAGGGATGAAACACAGAGTTGAGGGGGGATTTAAACCTGGTGGTGAGGCACTGCATGGTGTCCCTGTACCAATCCTCCTGCCGACTGCAGTGTCCTGGAGCACCGTCCCATCCTGCCTGCTCGGCACCCACCCCCGGCAGCCCAAGGACGTGGCATGTCGGCATATATAACCCCCCCCCAAGGCTCACTGTCTGGCTGGGCCCCAGCATGTCGCAGATTCTCCCAAGGTCTCTGCTTCTGCCGCACAGAAGGCAGCAAATATGGAATTTCTGTGTTTCGTCTGCTCCCAATCAGTGTCTTTTGTTGGTGTCTTTGAGAGGGGAAAAAAAAAAACAAAAGAAATAAGATAAGCTCATGCCTTCATGCCTTTCCCCCCCCTCCCTCCCCATATTGCCAGCCCTGCTGTCGGCGTGGCTCTTACAACTCCCATTGTATCCTTGAGCCGCCCGGCGCAGCACACAGCCTGTCTGCAGGAGACGGATGACCCTGAGCAGCCGCTTCCCCTGGTGCTGCTTTCCCACAGCATCCCTGCAAGGTAGGGCACAGGTGCCATCTCTTCCCACCTGCCGCCTTGCTGGCTGTAATTCTGGGGGGTGGGCAGAAACCCTGGGGCCATTGGTGCTGATGAGCAGCGCTCCCACCCTGATGCGCAGCCGTGATGTGATGGGAGCTGAGCTGTGCAGCTGAGTGTGCCTCGGTTTTAATTGCTTTGGGAACAGGGAGGGCCGGGTGCCCTCTGGCTGGGGTTCTTCTGCCTGCTATGCCCTGGGCAGGGATGTGCAGCTCGGTGTTTGCAGGGAGGGAATAGGGGACCAGGCTGAGCTTGTGTGCAAAGCTCAGTACTGAGTGTCCCCTTGGGGACGGAGCGCTTTGACCCCCCCCAGGGATGCTCCCATAGGGCCACTGTGAGAATGCCAGGGACGTAGGGACCACGTGCAGCCGCGTTGCAGCTGTATTTGTGTGTGCTGCAGCCCAGGGTTGGGTCTGCAGCTTCCCCCACCTTCCCTCCCGCTGTGCAATTATTGCCGGCGAATATTAGGCAAGTACAAATTACAAACCATTCAAGTCGTAAAGAGCTGTCAATCAGCCACTGCTCGTTATCAAATGCGCTAAAAATAGCCACCAAACTTATTGGCGGGGGGGGGGGCAAAGGGGGGAAGGATGTCAAAACAGACCCGCGGCATGGCACGTCCTCGGCACAGTGCCCAGCCAGAGGTGCTGGACGTGTGCTGCAGCCCCTGTGGCTCTGTGCTGCACTGTGTGTCCCATGCAGCCCACTGGGGATGGAGGGAGCCTGGAGCATCGCTGCACGAGGCTCCTCGGGTCGGGGCTGGAGCAGTACGAAGTGCACCAGGACGTTGTGTGTGTGTGCTTTATGCCATGGCACATCAGTGCTCTTGGAGATGGAGAGGGCGACTCACAGCCCCGGTGACAAAGTCCCCGTGTTCCTGCAGCCATCTGACGTGGAGCAGTGGGGCTGGAAACACCCTATGGAACATCTAGAAGAGCTGTTTTGCTTCTCCACCATTGGGAAAGAATTGAAAACCCCACAGGACGTTGGGGTGCCCCAGCAGCAATGTGTCATCCCCCCCCTCCCAGCACTGCGCACTGCCCAGGGCTGCCCCCCGCCGGCCCCTCACCCTGCGCCGGGTGGGAGTGATGAAGTGGAGCAGAGAATTGTCCCCTTCACACATGAGAGATCAGAGCCGTTGGCCGCCAACCCCACACTGTGGGATTGCTGGGTGGGCGAACAGGAGGAGGAGGAGGAGGAGGGTGGGCACAGCAGCCCGCAGCGGGTGAGGGCAGTGGGGAAGGAAGCACTGACACCCATCTGTCTGTCTGTGTGCTGCAGGAGCTGAGCTGACTCTGCTGGTGGCCTCACACACCACCGTGGCCAGGCGGTAGCTGGGACGTGCAGGTAAGGAATGGGGGGGGGGGTCCCCTCCTGCTGGTGTTGGGTGAGCAAGATATGCAAACAGTGGGTATCAGCTGTGCTGTGTGTGAGCTGAGTGTGCAGCTCTGAGCACACCCATGGCACACTGCACACATAACACTGCACACAAATCCTGTCGCTGCTGGCCACGGCTGTTTTTGCAGTTTTGTTGTTTTGATGTGCTCTGGGCTGGGGTTGGGAGGGTGCTGCTGGGTGCACCTCAGGGCTGCAGCTCAGCCCCCACTGCCCGCCCTGGTGCTCACTGCTTGGGGAAGTGCCATGCTGGGGGAAGCTGCTTGTTGCTCACAGCCGCGTGGGCTGTCACGAGCCCCTGGCCACATCCCTGTGGCCCCAGCAGCACTGCGGGTGCCGAACCCTGCAGAGGTGAGCAGGGGGTGAGGAGATGGGGGTGGCTCATGTTACAGGAGGGGGCTTTCCTTCTTCACAAGAACCTGCTTTCCCTGCTGTTCTCCTGCCTCCACTCCTGCTTGCCTGGATTTTCTTACTAGAGAGATTCTCCACCTCCCTTCTCCATCCTGCCATGTGTGATCTAGCCTAAATATTCCCTTCCGTAGCTTCAGGACGCTGCTGTGTATCCAGCCTTCTTTGGAGACTGCGAATAATTCCCTTCCTTCATTTATATCATTACCTTGGAGGTATTTATAGACTGTGATCTTGAGTGGAAGGGAAAGCAGGACTATATATAAAGCAGCGATCCCTTGGTCTTTAGCTGCTAACTGCCTTAAACTGCTCCCGATTGAAGCTTCTCCCGCTCGGTTTTTCCAAGGGTTTGCTTTGCTGTGAGCTTTGGGCTCCACTTGAGCATCCTCAGCATTTAAATGCAGCTGTGGGCTCTGTGAGTTTGGAGGAATCCCAGCTTGTGAATATTTGTCTGGGTCTTGCCTATGAGTGTTTGTCTGTGTCCCATCCGTGACCTGACAGAAACCCTTTTGTGCACAGAAGCATGGCCATACAGATGCTGTAGTGCTGACAGCGTGCAGGAAAGGCTTTGGGGCACCGGGAACAACGTGCCATGGGGTGGCTGTGTGTTGCAGCAGCTCTGCCATCCAGCTCTTCTTTTTGGGCTGGGCTATTATTATTATTATTATTATTATTATTAAACACCTTCTGCACACCCATTTCTGTCTCTCCCAGCCCACCACCATGGGGAGCAGCAAGAGCAAACCCAAGGACCCCAGCCAGCGCCGGCGCAGCCTGGAGCCACCTGACAGCACCCACCACGGGGGGTTCCCAGCCTCGCAGACCCCCAACAAGACAGCAGCCCCCGACACGCACCGCACTCCCAGCCGCTCCTTCGGGACCGTGGCCACCGAGCCCAAACTCTTTGGGGGCTTCAACACTTCTGACACCGTCACGTCACCGCAGCGTGCTGGGGCGCTGGCTGGTCAGTGCGACATGGAGTGTCTGTGAGCTGTGGGGTGGGATTGGTTTCCAGCATCCTGTGGTGGTGATGGGTTCTCCTGCCACTGGGGGGCTTTGTCTGGGATCTGGAGGACGGGCGGTGGGACGTGGGACACCCAGTGTGCAGCCTGCCCTGAGCGATCCGTGTTGCAGGCGGTGTCACCACCTTTGTGGCTCTCTATGACTACGAGTCCCGGACTGAAACAGACTTGTCCTTCAAGAAAGGAGAACGCCTGCAGATTGTCAACAACACGTGAGTGTCCCTGCAACCCTGCATCAGTTTCACCCCTTTTGGGAGCTCTGGGGATCCCTAAGCCAAGCCTTGCAGAGGGCCACCTCTCCCAGTGATATGTCCAAAGGCATCAGGCTGCACTGCTCCCCTGTTCTCCTTGCACCTGCCTCCAAGTCTTTCCTCATCCTGTGGCCAACTCAGGTCCCCCAGCCCAGGTCCCCTGTCCCCATCACCACTCAGCTACTTCTCATTGGCCCGGATGCATCTCCTCTGCCTCAGGTGCTTCTCTCCATGCTGCCGCGGTGCCTCTGATCTCAGCTTCTGTCCTGACTGTGTTTTTTCTCTCTGCATGCCATGCTTTCATATAGGAGAAAAGTGGATGTCAGGTGTGTATTGCGGGTTATGATTACTGTTAATGACCTTCTTGGTAAAATCCTGCCTGCTGCCCACTCAGAGCTGCACCCCACCTGTCTGTTTTGCCCCTCTGCAGTCCTGGTTCATTTGGGTTTCTGCTCCTTCCTGGTCTCTTTTTGTTTTTCCATTTATTTTAGCTTTTTTTTTTTCATTTCCTCTTTTTTTTTTTTTTTTTTTAATGAGCCACTCTGGGGATTGGGATACTTCCATAGGGTCTGGTTCTTTGCTCTCCGTCCCACTCATAAGAGCACATCCATCTGTTGCCGGATGCACGGCGTGGGGCAGAGGCCAGGCTGGTGAGTGATGCAATGCTGGTATGCTCTGTCCAGATGCACAGCACGTGCCCAGCACAGCCCTGCAGCTCTGCAACAAGCAGAGAGGTGTGGGGCTGTCTACAGTAAGCACTGCTGCAGTGACCCAGCACTGTCCCAGCAATGCATTTTGGGTCCTTGTTGTCCTTGTTCCAACACTCACTGTTTGTTAATGGCTCCACTCCATGAAGTTCGGGATGTGCTGCTTGCAGGGCTTTGGCCATGCACAGAAAGCTTTCATGTGGGGTGTTTGGTGCATCCCAGCTGCTGTACCAGGCTGGGTGTGCAGCTCTCTGTTCTGCACACTGCCAGAGGCCAGCAGCGACCTTCCCCCTCCCTGATGGCCAAACACACCCACCCAGTGCAGGAAGGATCTCAGTACTGCTCCCAGCAGGAGCAAGTCCCTTCCCAGTCAGGCAGCAGGGATGTAACAGGGTATTCTGGGTAGAGTTGTGCAGGGAATTATTGAAATGCTTTGTTTTGATGCTGCTGATGATTTTTTCTCCTCCTGCTGCGACATTTTTGGAATAGTTTGTTTTGCTGAATTCCCAGATGACAGCCATTCAGCCCATGCTGGAACAGCGCCGCCAGTCAGGATTTGGCCATTTCCCAGCAGACATTCACTTTGGCCCCGTGGGAACAGAACCAAGGCAGCTCCTGCCCCTGTCCCGGGCACACAGTGAGGTGCTGGGCTGCAGCTCTGCTGCTCCATGCCTCCACAGCCCTCCGGTCCTTGCTGCACTGTTCTCACAGAGCTGCGGTTTCCCTGCAGCCCCGTCTTCCTGGCGGTCAGAATAAATGAAACGGCTGTCTTTGATGGCTGAGGACACGGCGGTGGTGGAGGAACCCCCTGCTGCCTGCCTGGAAGGGGAAGCTGCCTCCTGATGTCCATTCATTGTCCTTTCCTGCCCAGCAGCCTGTGGGATGTGATGGGGAGGACATGGAACGCAGCGGGCGAAGGCTCCTGCACCCTGCCAGCACCTGCAGCCACCTCTTGGCAGCCCCAGAGCTTGGGGATAGCACTGGTATTCATCTGTGCCACAAAGGGGTTGAACCCACTGCACCGCAGCCAGGCTTTGCCCATAGGGCAGCTCTCATCCCCTCCCCGTGGCACCAGCACGGCTGCCCTGCGCCCACTGGATCTGGTGTTCCACCCCTCTCTGACACTCGTTTATTTTCTCCCTTTTGTTGCTTTTCTGCAGCCTGTGTTTAACAAATTCTGCCTTCTTTTGTTTCTCCTGGCGCCTTTTTTAATCACTGCCATCATTCTGTTGCTTTTCTCCCATTTCCCCTCCCTTCCCCTTTGCCTGTTGCTTATCTGCTCGCTGGGATTTCCAATGCGTCTCAATCTCCAGCCAGACCCGGCTCAAATTCAGATGGCTCCAAAGGTATTTGCCTTGCTATCTCTCCAGCAAGGACACCCTCCTTTATGGGCAACCAGCACCATGGAGCTGCTGCTCATCCTGGGGAGCCCCTAAAGGATTTGGGGCCGATGGGGCTCACTGCTGCCCTCCTTGGGGTCTCTGTGGGGAGTGGGTGCTGCTGCAGGCTGGGTGTGGGTGCTGCTCACCGCTGTCCCCTCAGGCTGGGCTCTGCTGGCTCTTCCCCATCCCACATTTCCTCTGGGGATGCAGGGACAGTGCCCAGAGGTGGGACAGGGCCCGACCCGGGGCGCTGTGGGCTCTTTAGCTTCACACTGAGTGTGTTTTGGTTCTCTTGC